ATCAAGAACCATATTAAAAATGGCTTCCTAGTTCGTACTTAACACGGACAAGTTCCATAATTCTAGACGAACTACAAATCCAAAGTCAAGATGACAAAAGATCCGAATCAAGAGGCATGCCAAGTGAGTGACCAAGTCACTTCCACAAGAAGGACAAAGTCCCAACAAGAATGCAAAATGAACAAACAATCCGTACGAATGGGAGATTTAGCAAATTTCTTACAAGATTGATATAATCCGAATATAACAATATAATTCGAAGACAAGAAAAATAAAATATCAAGTTATTTCAACATATTTCCAGCAAGCAAAAAGAGTACAATTTATACGTAAACCTTGGTGTTTTACCACAAAACAGTTCAATCACAACTTGGGGACGTTCGAATCGTCTACGCCGTAAGCAAACCAAATCTGTCCACTTCCTCAAACACTTCCCCTTTGATTTTTTTTTCAAGGGTTTATATACCTTAAATACATAATCAAATATCTAAATAAATTCAGTGATTTAACAAGTCAACTAAACATGATATTGGTGAAAATTACCCAAAAACGTTTGAAACAGAAATTCTGGACAGTATCACTGTTCCGAGTTGTGACTCAGTTTTGAAGATCTATACGGACAAACTAGACCTTATAGTCTTCACAAAAGTTGTAGATCTATGTCTTACCGTTTCAGAACATCTTGAATCACCACCATATCAATTTTGAACAAAAAGTTATGCTAAAATTACTAACAGCAGTATATGGAGTATTTCAAGAACTGAAAATCTGGGCAACACCTGTCCTGTACTTTTTGACCCTTTTTCAGGTATATACCAACAAAACTAGATTTTGGTTCCTTCATAAAAATTATAGATTTATGAAATACCTTTCCAGAAAGTCCTGGATCACTTAAATCGGAGCTCTGTACAAAAAGATATGTAGAAAATACTAGTAGGTGTCTAGTATAAAAACGAGTTTAGAAACTTACCAAGAGGAGCAACTTGATCTTCACCTAAAACGAATTTTGTGCGTTGATTTAGTAAAAATCCATGGTTTTGTTTTTTTGATGAAACTTCAGCTTCTTGTTCTTACGGAGGAGAGAGAGAGAGATAGAAATAGAAAGATAGAGATAGAAAGAGAGACAGAGGTAGATAGTTATTCTTCTTTATTTATGAAGAGTAGAGGAATAGGGAGTTTATGGACAAATATGAAATAAAATGGTTCACCAACTACTAAATATTCTTAGATAAATACAAAAGGTTGGAAACCCAAAACTTAATTATATACTATATTTACTAACAACTCGTCAAAATAATATTAAGTGTTACATATAGCAACACCATGGAACTTCATTGCCAATATTAACACAACCTAAAGCAAGAAATTTTCATATATTGACCATTCTATATTTAGGAAGTGCAAAGTAAAATATTTTCTCGTTATAAAAAAATGCTCAATCAAGAATGCAAATATTGTAAAAATTTTGGGGTGTTACAATTTTCTTATAAATTGTATAATTACTAAATAAGGCTTTTTTGCTTTTGTTATGGTCATATTTAAAATATTAAACAAAAAATAAAATTATTTCTAAGATATTTTGACAAACTTGCGCATGGATCAATTTGGGCTAAAAATTAGCCCAACTTTAATTGGGTTGAGATGAGTTGGGTCAAGATGAGCTAAGTTCAATAAATGGGCGGGTCAATAACCAACCCAACCTTGGGCGGGTTGGACGGGTCATTTGGGCTTGGGCCAAATTTGACAGCCCTAGTTTATAGACTTTGTGTGGGGTGTGTGTGTGTATATATATATATATATTAGGTTAAAACTTAAATTTTTAAAAAATTAAATAATAACTTTAAAAATGATGGGTCGGCCCGTGGCCCATATAGGGCTGGGTTGGGCTGACCATTTTAAAGCCCATCAAATTAGTGGGCCAGCCCAGCCTAGTCCGTCAAATGCCAAAGCCCGCATAGGCTGGGCTAGGCTGGACCGGGCCAGCCCATATTGACAGCTCTACTTAGAATCTCATCATTCTATTTGAGAAAAATAAGTTCTATAAATATATCAGGGAAAAAAGCTCATTTAAATTTTTATGTCATATGAATATGAATATACTCCATCCGTCTCATATTAACAGTCGTAGTTACTAAAAATTGTTGTCTCAAATTATTTGTCATTTTAGAAGTTCAAGACAAAATTGATTATATTTTTTCTTTTTTACCCTTAATAATAATTATCCTAGAAGACCACAAATACCTTAATTATGGATAATTTTATTCAAATACCAAAAATTCAACCTTGTTATCTTAAACACTTTAATCATGTTTACACTAATGCAATCAATACTGTAAATACCAAAAAAAATTATAAAGTCTATTCAAATCAAAATTCTGCTAGAGTACATGATAATGAAAGAATATATAAAGAAAATTCTGCTAGATTAATTATAATGAAAGAATATATTGGTATGATAATTTGATCATACCAATATTTATATTTGGCTCTTGCAGTGATAGCTCATCTTGTGATAACTGCATACCTCCAAATGGTACTGTATCATTTTCGCAACTTGGCTCTGTATTTAAATCCAAAAACAATTGATTCATAGAAGATGTTCTAACTCTTCGATAGGCAGATTCAATATTTTGGCCAGGAATGGCATCTGTAGTAATATTTAGATCAGGAATTTGTGGTCTAACACCATTAGCAACATGAAGTTCAGCTGGCATATTTAGATCTATTTGGATTAATGGAAATTGATGACTTTGTGTTGGATCCATGTTCATTTCAAGAATTTAGTGAAGCATTCTTTTTTATAGGAAATTTAAGGTGGGAAATCTTAAATCTTCAAATGGAACTAAAGTAACTTTCAAGTTGATTTTTTTGGCTCCAGAATAATTTTAGTTGGAAAATTTTCAAATCACTCGTTTGAAAATGTTTTGAAGGAAAGATGAATTCTATTTCATGCAAATCAATTCTATGTTGGAAGAGTTAATTTTACTAATTTTTAAATTTTATCCTAGGTGCCTCTCATACATTCTATAAAGCAAATCAATTGCATTCACATTTAGTAAAAATATGGATAATGTCATTAATGGAGATGACACATAAATTTAGAAAATATTCATAAGGGTAAAGTAGTCAAAATCTCATCATAACTAATTTTTCTTAAGGGCCATATATAAGAAAATTATGACACATAATATGAGACGGAAGAAGTACAAATCTTATAGAGATTGAGGCGTACTTATTACTGTTGTACATCAATATCTGAATTTTTGTGTCACTTGAACTTGTACACTTAGTAAAAAAACATGCAAAATTTTCTATTACTTGGACTTGTACACTTGGGGAAAAAGCCATTTATTCTACCAAGAAGATAAAAGACAAGAGAAGAGGGGTCAGCAAATCAAAAGCGGATTAAACCCAAGGAAAGACAAATATAGCTTTATAAGACTTATTTAATTCTTAACTATTTCAATCTCATATTTCGTTTTTGGAAAAATAAGTGAAAATTAGTAAGGAACAAATTCAACTTTCTTGCAAGACTATTGGCCGAAATATCATAATATTACTAGTATAACTTAATTCAGATAAAAATAGCTTATAGGAGATTTCCCTGAACCCATGTCATGCTAAAATCAATAAAATTAAATTCCATAAATAAACAATAAAAAGGACATTGAGCTACAACCACAAAAATGAAACTCTACATTACATTTACATTAAAAAAGTATCTACATTATGCCACTCGGGTACAGGACATATACCCCATCGAATGACTTCTCTCGTCTACATTCTTCTTTCCAATTAACTACAAACACGACGTCNACAATGACAAATATGGCAATAATTATATTTAGAAAAGGTTGCATGGAAAGGAATTTTAAATTCTTAAGCTAGTAAAAGCTAGCAATCCGTACTTTAGATTAGTAAATTAATGAATATGACTGCTTTAGCTCTATCATATAGATCTTTACTAAGTTGAAATAGCAAATTCTTCTATTACCGACGGTAAAAGAAAAGAAATAATATTGATTACTATCCCGTCATCTCACATTTTCATCAAACGATTTTCTAAAAGCAATAATTTATCTTAAATATAGTAGCGAATTTAAAATTAAGACGTTATGAGATTCGAACTAAAAAAGCAAGTTTTGAGACATAAGTTTAATTTTATTTCTATTTCGTATAAAATTTGGTTTAAACTTATTATAATAAATCTTCTCAAACTTATCTAACAGCACCAGCATCCTTATCTCTAACGTAAGAATAAGCAATTCATAACTCCTCCGACACGTACTCTTTCTTTTCTACATTTTATAAGTGGGAATTAAAGACACACAACATTAATGATGTTGGAACCTTAACGAAACGTAGAACCTTCTGGAAAATAAAATACTTTTACGGTTTTACCCCTCCAAAATTTTTAAGGTACATTCTCGCGACTTCCTAACTAGAAATTAGTTAGTGGGTCCCATGTTTACCCCTCACACCCTAAACTCCATTTTACCCCTACTATTATCATTCCCTTCTCCTTATCAACCATTTTTTTCTTTCAATTCTCCTTCTATATTAACCTCCTACGAACGTTCTAGAACAAAAAAACGAAAACACAGCTTTCTCTCAATACCTCATTGGGTTTGGATCTGTAATAGAAGTAGCAGTGGATGTCATGGTGCCGTCGCCGTTTGAACAAACCGGCGAATCTACCGCCGGTGAGAATCAGAAATCTCTTCCGACGCCATTTCTGACGAAAACTTATCAACTCGTCGATGATCCTGCCATCGACGAGTTGATCTCGTGGAATGAAGATGGAACGACGTTCATTGTTTGGAAGCCTGCTGAATTTGCTAGGGATTTGCTTCCTAAATATTTTAAGCATAATAATTTCTCCAGTTTCGTTCGGCAGCTTAATACTTACGTAAGATTCTTATATTCTTAATTAAAAAAGTCTGATTTTTTAGTCCTTTTTTTGGTTATTCTGTTTACATTGATTAACTTGTTTTGTGAAATTATTGTTTAGGGATTCAGAAAAGTTGTACCTGATCGATGGGAATTCGCGAATGATTGTTTCCGGAGAGGAGAAAAAGGACTTCTTCGTGACATTCAACGCCGGAAAATCTCACCGGCAGGGACTGCCGTTACTGCGGTTTCACCGACAGTAGCTGTGAATGCAACACAAGCGGTGACGATAGCGGTGGCACCGGCAGTGCGGTTGGTATCTCCGTCAAACTCCGGTGACGAGCAGGTGTTGTCGTCAAATTCGTCGCCGGCGGCTACTGCTGCCGCAGTGGCGGTGTTACGGACCACCACGTGCACAACGACACCGGAGCTTCTGGAAGAGAATGAACGGTTGAGGAAAGAGAATGCACAATTGAGTCAGGAATTAAATCGGTTAAGAAGCTTATGCAATAACGTATACAATCTGATGTCGAATTACACAGGGAATCCATCAGAGACACTGGCAGGAATTCCAGATGGAAGAGCTCTCGAATTGCTTCCCGCAGGTCAGGTTGCGGCGGATATGGACGGCGGAGCCACCGCTACACCGGCGGAATGCAGCGGTGTTAAGGCGGAGGAAGATATAAGCCCGCGATTGTTTGGAGTATCAATTGGGGTAAAGCGCGTGAGGAGAAGCAGCGAAGAAGAATCTGAAAGGGAAGGAAGAGTGCAGGATCAAGTACAGCTGCACGGATCAGACGTGAAATCAGAGCCGTTAGATTCAGGAAGCGGACATCATGATGGTCAGCCGTGGATAGATCGATTAGGCTGATGATTAGATGGAGAACCAAAAAAGACAAAAATTAAGAAGTGGTCCCCAGTAATTGGGCCCCACAAAAGCACTTGCTAGAGCAACGAGGAAGATGAGGATGTTGAAAAAGAACACGTGTACATTGAAAGTAATTATCAATGTTGGTTCTGGGAGTTTCTGGAACAGCGAGTGGGTCATTGTTGTAAAAGGTCACTATATTTGAAAACTATGGTTTACAAAAAAGGCCACAAAAAGCGGTGGAAAAGGAGAAAAAAGGTGGCTTTCAAAATGATCCATAATTGGATTGGAAAATAGGGGATGGGCTGGCCTAGTTGAAAAAGAGAGACAAATGTGGGAAATTAAGTCAATGTTTTAGTTAGATGGGACCTATTTAGGTTGCAAGCTGCAAAAGAATTTTTGGTTAGAAAATTGTTTGTACATAATTGAAACAAAATAGTGTTGTATTGTAATTGTAACTTAAAGTTCTTATTAAACTTACTGATTTTTGTTCTTTTCCCTTTTTTCTTTTTCTTGAGTATCTGTTTTATTTTATTTGAATTGTTATTATTAATTTAGTATTGTAAATGAAATATATTAGCAGTATACTGTTAGTTAAGTTCTAGTACTCCTAGTATATTTGAATTGTTGACCTGGCTAATGTAATAAAATTTCATTTTTGGGATGTCATGAAATGGGATTATGGAGATATTCTCTTCCAAATTTAAGATTATTGAGATTTAAGACTTGTCCAAATTTAAGATTTGAGATCCTTTTGAAAAGGTATGGGAGTAGTTTAACTACTCCTTCCGGTCCACAATAAGTGATCAATTTGCTTTGGATACATCCATTAAGAAAATATTAAATTTTAGACGAAAATAATTAGTGTGACTAAACTGCCCTTCATTAAATGTTGCACCATAGTTATAGTAGCAATTACTTCTCTTCTCAAATGTGAGGAGTAAATGACTTTTTAGGGGTACATGGGTAATTTAAAAAAACAAATTAAATTTTTTCTTGATTATATAAATGGACATTTATTTTGAACCAAAATTAAAAAGCAAATTGGTCACTTATTGTGGACCGGAGGGAGTAATGTGATTTACGTGGATGCGAACCATTTATGATGATCGGAATTGGTAATCGATATAGTGCTCCCTCCGGTCCAAAATAAGTGATTTTTTGGCTTTTTTCTTGTGATCCAAAATAAGTGATTTTTCTAAGAATGAATTAATTTTTTTCCTACATTGTCCTTGGAGTAATTAATGTTAGAGTATGTGTTAGGAGTGTTTATGTGAAAAGACAATAAAGGTTAATATGGTCAGTTTCACTGCTAATTAATGTTAAAAGGTGAATTTCTTAATATGTGAGAAAACAACCAAAAAATTATTTATTTTGGACCGGAGGGAGTATAAATACAAGATTCTGCAACATATTCTTTGGCCAAAAGAATCTCTGTTATTGATATTACATGAAAACAAAGATATTTTTGTTGCTGAATTACGGAGTATTATACGTCAGAGGAAAAACTTGTGCCACTTAGTACTTTTTTATTTTTTAGAAATATAATCTAGATAAATATGTTTATCATATTATTTTGTAATTTTTCTTTTCAAGAAAGTAAATATCCTAAAAATTGAGATTAACGAGATTACTACACAGTAAGTCGAAACATTTTCAAATACTCTGACCAATATAGCGAGCGCACAGCTTATAACTGAAAACTTTCGTGTGTTATTACAACTAGAATGAAGGAGTAGCATTTCTTCATTTCAATTAGTTCTGGAGCAAAACTAGATCAATACAGAAGCAAAAATGTCTCATCCGGCTTTAACATAGATATGTAAACAAGAAAGGGATAAAAAAGTAAAATTGTAAACTTGAAATTAAGGAGTCAAAGAATTAATGCAGATTTTAAGGGATAAAAAATTAAAATTGTAAACTATAAATTAAGGTGTCAAAGAATTAATGCAGATTTTAAAATAACAATAACTCCTCCATTAATTTGTCGAAGATCCTTGACCATTTTGACGATAGTGGTTTGTTAAATAATTATTGCCCTCTTTATTTTGGACTTGGCAAATATTATTACTTTAATCACACGAGCAAACCTGGCTGGCTTAACCACAAAAAGGACCGCATCTGTGAAACGACAGTCTCTTTCTCCCACATCGACAATATACTGCGCGAAGAGGTCCTTTACAAGAATGAACGGCGAAGATGAAGTTCACGACCTTACTTGAACAGGATCTGTTCTATAGGCTCGTACCACTGTATCCTTGAGTTCTAAGGAGACAGAAAACCAAGTCTGGTGGATGAATTAAAGCCATTAGACCAGAGCGTGATTAACAGCTCCCATAGCCCTCGGGTCATGACGCTGTAGATGATCGTTCTCAGCCTCATCCGTGGGTGCTGCGATGGTCTAATGGCTATCTGACAGACTCTTTAATTTTTTTTTTTGTGTTTAACTTTTGTTAGAAGAGTTATATAACCTTAATCCCATATGTATTAGGAGTAGGACATGTTATGTATATATATATACGACTCATTGTATCATGTTTAACATATGATAATAATATCAATCATATTTTCTCCCATGCATTCTCACATGGAGTGTGATAAAGAGCTCCCATGACCCTCGAGTCATGGCGTCATAGATGATCGTTCTCAGCCCCATTTGTCAATGCTGCGATGGTCTAATGGCTATCTGACAGACTCTCCAATTTTTTTGTTGTGTTTAACTCTTTTGTTAGAATAGTTATGTAACCCTAATCCCATATGTATTAGGAGTAGGACATGTTATGTATATATATATAGGGCTCATTGTATCATGTTTAACATATGAGAATAATATCAATCATATTTTCTCCCGTGCATTCTCATATGGTATCAGAGCAATTGTGAGAGATTTATCGCTGTGCACAAATTCCACCGATTCCGGGAAGAGAAATCAGTCACCGGAAGCCTTTTTCTGGCAACTTTTTCAAGGCTGTTTGTGTTTGCGTTGTCTCTGTCAGTGTTGTGCAAGATCCAACACTACCATAAGAGTCGCCACTGTCCGACGACCAAACCCCAGAAAAATCTCCGGCAACAGAAGCCCCACGCGCCACCAGAAGCTCACGCGCGTGAGGTCACACGCCGGAGTGTGCAGAACCCTCTGACCATTTTTTGGAAAACATTCTTCAGAACATTTGGGTCGTGTACCAATTCGGACCCCACCTATACTGTTTTCGTTTGATTCCGACCACTTTAAGTTTTTTCGGTGACTACACTGATTTTTTCCGGCAGCTACAGTAATTTTTCAGCAAAAAATAGTGTCTCCTTCATCTGTTTCAGTGAGTTTTCAATTGATTCTTTCTGTTATTTGGTGATAATTTTATAGACCTCACTTCAATCCAATGATGTCTTTGGGAGTCGATGCTTTCGGGTCTAAATATTCGGGTTCTGGCAGTTCCGATATTATGATTACCTCAGAACCTTTAATGGGAAGTTCAAACTACTTAGCTTGGGCTTCGTCTATCGAGTTGTGGTGTAAAGGTCAAGGAGTTCAAGATCATTTAACAAAAAAAGCTAGCGAAGGTGATGAAAAGGCCAAAACACTTTGAGAGAAGGTCGATGCTCAGTTATGTAGTATCCTATGGCAATCTATTGATTCCAAGTTGATGCCCTTGTTCCGTCCATTCCAGACATGTTATTTAATTTGGGAAAAGGCTCGTAATTTATACACTAATGACATATCTTGTTTCTATGATGTAATATCGCGAATGACAAGCTTGAAGAAACATGAATTGTATATGTCTACTTACTTGGACAAGTATAGGTAGTCATGGAAGAATTTGAGACGTTGATGCCAGTTCTACTAGTATTGAAAAGTAACAAGAGCAACAACAGAAGATGTTTCTAGTTCTTACACTCGCTGGACTCCCTAATGACTTTGATTCAGTACATGACCAGATTTTGGCTAGTCCGACTGTCCCCACAATTGATGAATTATTCTCTTGATTACTTCGTCTTGATGCAGCACCAAGTCACCCAGTGAGCTCATCACAGACACTTGGCTCATCTGTCCTCGTATCCCAGTCAGTGGACAATCGGACATCTCAAACTATGGAGAATAGACAAGGAGGAGATCGTTTTGGAAGATCTAGACCCAAGTGCTCTTATTGTCATAAACTTGGACACACGCGTGACTTGTGATATTCTTTACATGGTCGCCCACCCAAAAATGCTTATGTTGCTCAGACCGAGACCACAGGTAACCAGGGATTTTATTTATCTGAAGGGGAGTATAATGAGTTCCTTCAATATCGAGCAAGTAAGTAGACAACTCCACAAGTAGCCTTTGTTGCTCAGACTGATAATTCTGTTGCTGGTAATTCTTTTTTTTGTGTTTTCCAGTCTAGTACTCTTGGACAATGGGTTGTGGACTCAGCCGCTTCTGATCATATCTCTGGTAATAAATTACTTTTGATAAATATTGTGTATTCACAATCTCTTCCCAATGTTACTTTAGCTAATGTGTCTCAAACTAAAGCAAAAGGTGTTGGACAAATGAATCCCCTACCCTTTGTCACTCTAGATTCTGTTCTTTATGTACCTGGTTGTCCTTTTAATCTTGCATCTGTTAGTCGTTTGACTCGTGCCTTCCATTGTGGTATATATTTTATTGATGATTCTTTTATTATGCAGGACTGCAGTACGAGACAAGCGATTGGAACATGACTTGAATCAGAAGACCTTTACTACCTTAACTCACTCAATTCCTCCAAGGCATGTCTAGTTACAGATCCTCCGGATCTAATTCATAGACGTTTAGGACATCCAAGCTTATCCAAGCTTCATAAGATGTTGCCTAGTTTGTCTAGTTTATCTACATTAGAGTGTGAGTCATGTCAGCTCGGGAAACATACCCGAGCTTCCTTTCCTCGTAGTATTGAGAGTCATGCAAAGTCTGTTTTTTCTTTAGTTCATTCTGATATATGGGGTCCTAGTAGAGTCAATTCAACCTTGGGATTTCGTTATTTTGTTAGTTTTATTGATGATCATTCAAGATGTACTTGGATTTTCTTAATGAAAGATCGTTCCGAGTTGTTTTCTATATTCCAAAATTTTTGTGCTGAAATTAAAAATTAATTTGGTGTTTCCATTCGCACTTTTCGCAGTGATAATGCCTTAGAATATTTATCCTCTCAATTTCAGCAGTTTATGACTTCTCAAAAATTATTCATCAGACCTCTTGTCCTTATACCCCTCAGCAAAATGGGGTTGCAGAGAGAAAGAATAGGCACATCATTGAGACTACTCGCACACTTCTCATTGAATCTCATATTCCGTTATGTTTTGGGGTGATGTAGTTCTCGCAGCTTGTTATTTGGTTAATCGGATGCCTTCATCTCCCATCCAGAATCAGATTCCGTATGCATTATTGTTTCCCTAGTCACCCTTATACTCTGTTCCCCTTCGTGTTTTGGGGAGCACTTGTTTCGTTCATAACTTAGCCCCTGGGAAAGATAAGTTAGC